GCAAGATCCTCAAACTCAGCACGGATAACACCAAACCAAACACAATCAGTGGAAAGGCTCTGGAAGACATGGGGAAAATTACGTACCCTGATGGAATCATTATTAAACAAGTGGGATCTGGTGCAGATATGAAGGCGAGAGTAGGCAAAGATTGAGCCGCTTTTCTACAATTGAAGAACATATGGAACTCGAAACAACTTTCAACCAACATCAAAGTCAGAATCTTCAATACGAAAGTCAAGACAATTCTAGTGTACGGAGCTGAAGCATGGAGAACTACCACAACCATCATCAAGAAGGTGCACGTATTTATAAATAGCTGTCTATGCAAGGTACTCGATATCCATTGGTCGGATACAATCAGCAATAGTCTACTGTGGGAGGGAGCAAACCAGCTTCCAGTTGAAGATGAACTTAGTGAAAGACATTGGGATTGGATGGAATACACATTATGGAAATCATCAAACTGCATCACTATGCATGCGCTAACTTGTAACCCTGAAGGGAAACTGGAAAGTGGAAAGACAATGAACATACTGTGTCTAGAATTGGGAGCACACATCAAAAGCGTGAATATCAACCGTCAAGTTACCTAGTTGACTAAAATAGAATCGTGGAACCGGCTAAACTGCAGTTTAAACAAAACACTTTCACATTCGAGACGGCAATGGTGGCAAATTTGATAAAGTCTCAAAAAGATTGCGTCCATCTGGTAATTGTCTGATTCATTCCCATTAATGTCTATAGAATTAATTATATTCACCTTTTCGTAAACAGACGTTGAGACTGTAAATAAAGCTAAGACTATATTATCATAAACTAACTCTTAGTTACTTGTAAATACGAGGTAAAAACAGTTTTCATCCCAGATGTTTTCTCCAATAACCTTTAAGCATAGTTGGTGAAATGCGTTTTAAAACAATTTAGCACTCGTAAGAGAGTGATAGTGCTTAGGCTGGCACTAATCGAGTCTTTTAAATCTTTTGGTTACTACTATAAATGGTTCTAATATACACAGAAACCACTTCTTGGTTGGACAGTACGAACAGTTATTAACTGTAAATTCTAAAGTAAACCCAAATTAGTGTTATTTAAATATGGAGCAGATCAATCTTAACAGGCGTCCTTAAGTTAACTTCCCATTTTTTGCAGTGAAGTTTAAGACAAGTTGAATAACCTTAAAAAATTTTGATCGTGAGTAAATACGGGGTGGTGAAATAATCAATAATAGAATAAAATTCATCGGTTTACAGTACTAATACTCTGTTAGACAGTCATTTTAACGGTTTGATTTGTAGCTCAAATTAATAACCTTTAATCAATGGCATGTAATATATTTAGGAAATATGGACAACTATATGCGTAACGGTCGTATTTGTATATAGTTAAATTTAGACAAATTCAAACAGTTGTAGGTTACTGTTTGGGGATATGGCACGGAGTACATACAGTTTCATATTCAGTAGAATCATTTATTTGATCAGGAGAAATTTCATTGAAAATTAAGTAGTTTCGTACGATAAAGTATCATAAGAGAAATGATTCATGAATGATAAATCAGTTTCTTCGAAACTGTCAAGTCAAAGTGCTATTACCATAAAAACAAGACAAGTTTAATATCAATAATCTAAAAAATAAAAAAATAAAATTCACATTATAATTCACAGCTAGTTAACATTTAATCCAGAGTTTTTTGAAAACTTGTTTCTACAAGGTCAATTCTCATTAGTCATTTCCAACAAAATAATTGAGTCCTTATTAATTGTTTATACATAACATAATAATTGTATTATGAACAAAAGTCTTTTATTCTGTAAGCTTTCTCCCTCTCTCTCTATCTTTTGTTCGTTACTAAAAGATTAAACTTGTTTGTTATTATATTCAGAAAAACGTATATTTAGTTATGATAATTAGCCATGATAATGAGCTTTGCATAGTGAATTGTATAGACTAAAATAAAGGAACGTATCAATAAAATAAATTACTTCGGTATTGAAAAAAGATCAAATCCGGTTATTACTAAACTAAAAGCAAATATTTTAAATGAATAATGTTTAGTAAAGAAATTTGTCTTTCCTGTCAACGGATTGTAAAGACGTTTATTAGGAGAAAATTTCTTAGGAGCATCTGTTCTAATTAAATCACCACTTTGATCGGTTTATTCAGTGTCTGACAGTTATTTAAGTATGAGTGTAATAGAAAATGCTTTCGTCTTAGTATTTTTCTTTTGCAGAATATAAGTTATTAATTCCTTGTGGATATGCAGATAATGGTTTCAAGATTTACACAGTAACATGGTAATTTTTAGTAAGCTGAAGACACCGAATCTTAGTATGATCTTTTTCGATAAGAATCAAAATTGATGCGTTGTATTTTTTGACGAATATGGATTGATTGAAATAGTTTGCACTAGTTTTTAAGAGAAAAATAGACTGCTGAAAACAGACTGAACATTAAAATCACACTTTTGTGTTCGAGGAAATGGTTCGTCCAATTATTTTTGAGTAATTGGAATTGATTTCATTCTTTGTTAGAATAGTACAATTATAATCTAAGTGATGACTGCTATGATATATTATTTTCATAATAGATTTGCCAGGCTGTATTCAGTTTTTAATGTCATCAAGATTATTTCGGTAATAAATAGACCGTTCATCATTTCATGCTAATTGTCTACCTTTGGGGTAGTTTTATACGATGTTATATACAATGTTTAAACTGAATAATCATCATTAGAGAAATGAATTTTAATTAGTAAATAAATGAATTAAATTGAAAAATTGTGTGGAATATCAAAAAATCACAAAACTAGTCTTCACTATTTAGAAATAACTGTATTTAAACTAGTTAGACATTTCCGATAAGCATAACATTGAAATAATACAGTTTATGCTAACTATTATTGAATGAGATAAAAAATAGTATGAATTCAGTTAACATATGTCCAGGTATTATTTCAATCATTCTCTTTTGTATGGTTCAGCATAATATTAAAATCTCTCTATCTATAATCACTAACCAGGAATGTAACTTATACATTGTGTTGATTTTTAATGAACCAAACAAGTATAAAACCTGAATCGCTCAGTTATGAATGAATTTATACACCCTATTTATTGTATAACATAATTACGTCATAAAAACGTACTTTTCTTATCTGATTACTAAGACATTTACTGAACTGTCGTTGTGCAGTAAAATGTAGAAACCATTTATAGAAATATGAACTAACACTATTGTTTACATAAACAATATTTGGGACTTGTATATATGAATAAAATATCTTCATTGCTTCAAATTTTAATGTTTAATATTTTTTCAAGTGCTACAGTTCCAAAGATGTGTGTTTTCTTTATGTAGGCTTCATTGCAAACAATAATTCTTGTTCAGAATTTAAATAAATTAGAAGAATTTCAACAAACTACCTCTTATAGGATATCTTCTTCAGCGATATAGTGTGACTACAATTAGCATACGGATTTAAAACAGAGGAATCTAAAATTACTACACAACAGTGGAACAAATCTTTATCGTCAATGGTCACTAATAAAGTCCAAAAGTTGTATGTGGATTACATTACATGTTTTGTCGTTACTTATATACATTTTTTAGTTACGGTTTTACATTCTGAGTTTATATATTTATCCGGCCATTATGAATAAATCTTATTGAAAGCATAAATAATAGAAGCTTCTTATGATATTCCGATGTATTAATATAAATAATTTCAAATAACTAGATAAATAAATGAAAGGTAATTATGAATGTCTTCATAATGACCTCATTCATCTACAGCCAACTATGGAATAATGTCAACTGTGACTTTAAATGGTATTTAGATAAGACAGAAACAATAAACAAGACATATGTTAATAATATTGTTTTCAAAACGATGTTTGCCAGATTATACTCATATATAGTCATGGTTACATACATAGTACTACAAATATCAATAGTGTTATTTTGATAACGTGAAGCCACCTTTAAATGGAACGATTTTCATAAGTAACTTTGAGTCATTTTTATATAAAATTCTACCAAAATTGATAAAAAAATCCGATATAATTACTATATATACCTTACTTTCTTGTATGTGTGTTCTTCTAATGAATCAGTTTAATGACAATTTAATTCAAATTAATCACCAAGTTTATAAGTTAAAAGAGTTCTTATTTGCAATAATGTCTTAGTAATTGTAGGTTAAGAAGCATCAAGGGGAGATAGACGGGATGATGATTAAATGGTTACAATTACTGAATTTGCTGATGATTTAGTACTAAATGAACACGAGCAGCCGATATCTTTCATGGAGTTATGGTATTGTTTTTAGCATAGGGTAACTACATTGTCCAAATACTTGTCATCAATTATAACTTTACTTAATTTACGTCTTTTTGAACTATAATTACTGAGTTATTTTTGTTGAAATAACGTCGAAGTATAACTTAATAATAAACATTATACTGCAAGATAAATACAATAAATATAACTATGGAATCGAATATCTATTACTTATTTCTAAAAATCGAGAAATTCAATTATCTTCGCAAATTTATTTCAAAATGATCAAATTTAAACATTGGTGATTATATCTAAAAGCTTTTATCTATCTGTCTATCTGGTTTTTCATTTCACACACAGATTACTAGTGTGTTATATATTATTAGATCAATGTAACAGCCCAAGAAAACGAGTTCTTTTAGCTGTTAACCAGCTACTGCTATTTCTATGAAGATCGAAAGACTGGGTAATATAAAGCAAATAATCGAAAATACTTTGTTTCATTTATGATAGTTACCCTCTTCAACAACATTTTAGATGAAGCTCGGATCTTGTTATAAAACGGCTGAAAAAAAATCCATATTAAAAGTCCCTTTTTAAAAAATCATAATGAAGATAATCGTTCTTAGGAGTGTTTTTTAAGGTATATGGAAACTGTTTGTTTGTTTAGAGATACAACATTTGTAAATTTATTTCATATGAAGACAATTAGCACTAACTGACATCTTGGAATAGAGAATACGGGAACAAATCTTTACTAACCAAGCAACTGAATAGTAAGTATAACACCAAAAGTAACTAAACCCGTAATGGGTTTCCAGATTATTAGTTTGTAATGACGTGAATTGCGCAATTAACCGCCGATGTTAATTAAGTATAGTCACTCTTTCCTGAGAATTGACTGAATTCAAACATATGGAAGATTGTATACTGGCTCCATTTCTCAACGGTATCCTGGATATTGAGGGAGTAGATGTTTCTGAATTCAAGTTTATTCGGGATCTTGACAATACACTGCAGAAGAATATGATATAATGATAATGCAGATATCGTTTCTTTCTAGTTTTCAATAGATCTCCACACATTCTCAGCTAATTAATTAAACTGTATGCAAGTTTTTGAATGAGCTTTTTATTAAATGATAATATGTATCTTGATCAAATTCATTCCTATTTGAACGTGTGAAAAGGCTTTATGGCCCTCAGTCCTCTCCTTTGGATCAAAAAATATTTTGGTTATCTATCTTTTAGATGCTTTTGTTTATTAATACTTCAAATGTGATGGTAAATATTATTTCAATTAAAAGTACTTAGTATATCTCATAGTCACCTCATTTGACCTACCAGTTGTTGTTTAGTAAACTAATATAGATCAAATCAATAATTGCATGAGAATAATGAAGTGTATTTTCAAAGTAAGTTCTCTCCCAAAAAGACAATTTTGATCTATCTGTTTTTTTATATTATAGAGGGGACTTGGCTTACGTCTTTGAAAATTGCTTAGGAGTAGATATCTCGAATATAGTACTTCACGTTTATTGGGAAAAAGTGCCATGTGTTACCTGAATTTTGAAAAAAGAACAGTAAATGTTTGTGTTTAAATAAATAGTAATTAACTAGATTAACTATTTGTAAAACTGAAAGAACTCATTATGATTGAAAACGGATGCTAATCAAATGTTATTAAATTTCAGTCCAACACCGCTGTCTACTTCTAGACCACCTAAGGCATAGACGATGAGTAAATTTTGAAGTTACCTTAAATGATAATTAGGAATCTTTAAACCATAAACCAAGTTTACTGTGTAGTGAGCTTTAAACAAGCCAGTCATAAACAAACACTGATATAAAATTCACATTCATTCATTTAACAGGAATATATCACAGAAAATTAAAGGTGGTAACGCTCATATTTATATATATGACGGTTTGGCAGTTATTTATAGTGAAATAAACTGAGTTTATCCAGCAATTTAGCCGTAATAATTATGTTTGTCCACTGATCACTTATTATTCTTAAGTTAGAAGGAACACATTAATTATCATTTAATAACCTGATTTTCGATGCACGTAGTTGGCTTAGCTTTTAAGTACTTTTTGACATAATAACTTAAATATATAAAACTAGATAACATAATCTAATTCTGTCAGTTTTTTGCATAATAACGTTGATAATCTTCGGTTTGATGATATGCAACTTATTTTACCTGTTTATTTGGATATAATCCAATGTTTACAATTATCCTCTATTTCAGTAGTAAAACGTCAGTTATACGAATTACGACATTAATAACATTTTAAAATAGCGTAGACATATATTACTACTTGTAGCATTAACTTAATGTTCGGTAAGGTAGATGGAGTGATTCTAATTATTTTCAAAAGCGCATTAAACAGTATTAAGGCATCTATAGTTGAATACAAGTACTCTGGAAGCATATTCAATAGAAATGAATGCGTAAACGATTGAGGTTTAAGAGCTAACATAGCTCAAGCCTGATTCCGGTTTATGTTTGTTAACATCTGCTAAAGCTGTTCAAGATATACAAATAGGGTACTTTATTTCCGAAATACATAAATTATATTCATGAATATTGTTAATAATGGAATAGATTATCCAAAAGAAGCATAAATCATGGGTGTGATTCGTCTCAAATTTGATTTAAAAATCTAGATCAAAGGTTACTCCGTCAACCAGAGAGGATTTCTGAGTTAATCGAAACGTTGTTACATAAATGCACATAATCTTTGAGATTTTAAAAAACTGCCTGTCAAAATTTCTTTTTCAGTTATTGGAAACAAGTTACGAACGTGAATCGAATAATATCATGCGTGTGGTCAAATCCCAAGTGTGCACTAAAATATAATTATTAAGTTATGCAATATAACTATGCTTTGTATGTTAGAAAGGTAGGATTTTCTGATTCCAGAAGCTCGAGAATAGGGTTTATGAATGAAAGTACCAGGTAGATTAATGGATTTGAATTCTTTGAAGGATTGAAGTGCCTTCGAATAATCGACAACGCATAGGCAAGGGAAGCTTAACCCTAGAAACATATTTTACACCCTTCTATATAATGGAAACTCTTATAAATGTCTGAATTCTGGAGAAGACGATTTGGTAAGACTATAATTTATTGACAACGCTTGAGCGACAGTACAGTGACCTGAAGAGTGTCCACCCAACAACAAGGACCAAATGATGGTTATAAAGCAGTATGAGGGATTAGAATTATAATTTACAGTTGATGGTCAAGGTTATGGACTACACTTAGGGTTTTCATCACGAACTGACATAATCTAATGCTATCTCATCCCTGATTGGTTCGCCCATAAATTATAATTTACCCCGACGATTTTCTCTACCAGTTTTCGGACGTTTATTACACCATCATTTTATTTCGATAACTTCAATTTCCTAAAATTAACATTAAACGAATAGAATTAAGAAGAAAAAAGAAAGCATTAGCCTATTAGCAGACGTCACTTCACAGCAGTAACAAAGGTATTTTAATTATATGCATTTTACTAAGCATTGCAACAAAACTCAAATGATTGAATGTAGATTATCTTAGTTTACAATGTTATTGACTTCATATCTCAGGAATATCATTTCCAGATTTAATTTTTGTGTTAATCAATATATTGATCTATTGGAAATTTCTATCAGAAAACTATAATCATCACAAAATTTCTGTAAATCAACATAAAAAGAAAAAAACCCCATGTTTGATTTGTGTAAGAGCCGGTCCTTAATAAAGAACATCTTTTTACAATGTATTTTAACATTTAATTACATTGTTGGTTTAGAAATGAAATATATTTCATTTATATTTTCGTTTTCTTTCACTTGGATGTTGAGTCAGTTTCAATAATGAGTAAAATGTTTTTTGAATTATCTTTTAAAGCTGAAGTAATTAATTTTGTCTGGACTCTCTTTCTCAAAGAATATGAACCATTACATAAGGATCAATGTTTTACAAAGCATCGATAATGGGAAAGTTAATTGTAACCACTCAATCCAACGATATGTAATGTATTGGTGATAATGTTGGAAGTATGGGTGAAACGTTTAGTTAGTTATAAATAAATAAGAAAAAAAAGTGACTGTTACTGTAACACGAAATCAATTTATTTAGCTTACCGTTTTTTATGATAGTGGTTGTATAAACAAGGTATCAACACGGTGAAGGCACATAAATCTATGCTGACAGATGCAGTTGTAATCGTATATTTGACACCAATAGTAAACTAACCGTTCTATTAAAATTAACCCTCTACATAAAATATTAAGCTATCATATAAAGTGTTCCATGTGTTCAACTATTTTTTAAGAGTTGTTTAAAAGCTTTAAATTCTTGCTGATTGATATAGCTTTTAAGTAAAACGTACAAACCCATAGATTTCATTATTGCATTAATATTGACATACTGAGTAAATATAGTACTTAGAGAATATACTTTGCTTCTGCTGTTGAATGAAACGGCTTATTAGCAGACAAGCTTGTTAATTTTTACTAAAACGATACAAGAAACCCGCTACTTTTTAATGTATAACGTAGGAAATAAGAAAAGTAGTGAGACTATTTACTGATAGTCAAATTAATTTGAATATATATAGAGTCATATTACTTGATGCTCATATTTTCTAGTTATGGTCGAAGCAATTGCTAGAAGTTGCCGAATAATACTTTTAATTGAAGTTAATAGTTTTTAACATTTTCATTCATTTTAGTGACCGTTGGACAGTTCAGTCTACTAGTTCATTTGTTTCATAGTTAAGTCCAGAACATAAAGAGTGTAACTTTTTGATGAAAACTAGTACTACTTGAAGGTTATTTATCGGAAGTGCTTTAGATGTTTCATTCATTCATAATATATATGAACTAATCGAATTCAAATAGCAACTCCAATATAGATGATCTGGAATACATAACAGATGTTTAGTTCTAAGCGTATCAACTGTTTAAAACCTTTAGAACGCAGATCTTTTCATTCTTCTTCATCTTACAATTTTGTAATTAATGCTGAAAATTGACTATTACTGTTTCTAAATTATTTTTCTTCTGTTTTATCATAAAGCGTCGCGAGTGGAAAAAATCAGGAAAAACCTTTTTTTAAGGTTTCTTTGTCTTTATGTGAATATAATTCAAAAGTTTACGTTGGTTACATGATATTTTTTACCACGGTGATCCATATTTTTGATAAATATTTTAAAGAAACATACATTATTCACAAAATGGAAAGAAAAATGAATTGGCCAAACATACGGTGCAACTATTTCGATCAGCTCATTAAGTGAAATAAACTACTTAGAAATTCGAGAAAATTAGTTCAGAGAGAGAGAGAGAGAGAGAAAGGGAGTGGCGAAAATTCTATTCAGTTGATTATGCAAAATTCATGAAAATGCCTGGAAAATATAATATCAATTTAGTGTAAACCTATCCATTATTTGTCAACTGGAAAGTTTAATTAGACTTATAAAATATAAAGAAGATAATTAGATTTTTATAATTAAATTCTGTCTAGATATTAGATTTTTTTTCGTTTTTTTTTACGGAGTCAGTAGACAGACTTCATAATTTACGTTTTGACAAATTTTAACATTCGTCTCTATTTAGGAGAATTCGACCAGACGTGTTGTTGAAGTTAGATCAACTGAATTGTTAAAATTTCGAGAAATTCCCATCAAGTTTGTATAAAATCCTGTTTTGACACGATGTGGTGTTTGGTACTTATATTGACATAAGTAGTATATGATGTTAGTCATGAACAGAAGGTCTGGCAGCAGAGAAACAAGAGGATCGAACAGTAAAGAATGGAAACAGAATGCAATTTGTATGAAAATGCAAGAACAATGAAGTCTGAGACATTTTGAGACAGCTGGTGGACATTATGCAAATTAACCATTTACTTTATGATTGTTAGATTTTATTAACAAGTCCTGTAATTTTGTGTTAAATACATTCGATTGTTCCCACCCATGTGGGGATTAAACTAAATTATAAGGTTCATTTTATATCTAGCATGGTAATAAATAATATTATCATCTAAAAAATATTACTACTAGTATAAATCAATTATTTTTCAATTATAAAGCTGCCGAAAGCTATACATAATAATTACTTTGTTGCCAAAGAAGCTCTCAATCTAAATGTCATAAAACATACGTTCATATTATTAGGTGGAAGTTTAAGATGTCCCAAACAATGCATAAATCCTATTTACTTTGCACCAATAAAGTTAAACTACTATAAAGGAAACTAAATATTAGAAAATGCATTACATAACAAAACATCTTTCTAAATAAATTCCTTTTAGAGCACTTAAGTGGCATTATATTATAGTATTATGAACGACATTATAAAGTTAAGAAATATGGCTGCTACTGATTTGTGCGTTAATTAATTAATTAGTTATCACAAATTCTAACAATTATGATCGAATTTATTTGAATGAGCTTACATTTACCTAAATGACATATAATTTGGTATAAAATGTTTCATTGACATCAACATTTCATTTAACAAATGTTCAACTACTTATTATGTAAAGTGAAATATGTCATTGTTTAACAGATTATGAGTCATTAGTGATTCTGTAAATTACAATTCGTTTAATACTGAAATAATCTGTTCTTAGATGTTACAGTTACAACTTGTTCAGATGTACATCCAAAATCAATTTAAACAATTAAAACATTAAATATTGACTGACTTACAGCGGAAAATTCATTATTCCAATATTTTCAATAAGTGATAATTTTGAATGTCATTCAATTCGAATATTGTTAAAAGATGTTGACTGCAAGTAGAAATGAAGTTGGAAGATACGAAAAATGTGGAAAATTATATGGTTTATAATGACTATAATAATTCTTCATTAGTATGACAACAACTTTTCTTTCCGTTGAAAAAGATTTCAAAAAGACCAAAATATTTTACTGGATAAATGATGATACAAAAAACTATTGGTCAATAGTGAGGTGTTTAACTGGTACTTGTAAGAAATAAAAATGGGCTTTATGATTGGTTAGACTAATTTTTGAAAAGGAATATTTTGACTGTATTAATTGGATGATAGGAATGTGATAATCTTACGGCAAATTTAATGAACCTTACGACGGAAATCAAACGTAAAACTTTGACCAAGGTTGTTTATATTAGGCATCATTTTAAGACTCATTATTAATATATTATTGGCATGGGTTATTTGTCCTATTACCTATGGAAAAAATGATCCATGAATCTCATTATACGGTCAGCAAGATTATTTACCTGTCATCTTGGATATCATTATCTTGAAGTACATTTCCAAAGCAAATTAGTCTAACAATTTTTGAGAAAATAACAGCGTGAACCATGACTGTATGAGAATTTAAAATTAAGTGTATATGTCTCATTGAAAATAAACTAAAGAGTTTCTGACAAGTATGTTACTTTTTTTGACAGGTTAATACGTAATACACATTTGTTTGTGTTGATATCTTCATTCATAAGGTTAATGATAGAACATAACACATTTCAGAATTAAACTAATTAACTTGGACTGATTAAATACAAAACCAAGACGCATTAGTAATAGTTGTTTAAATGTTTGCTCTTTTTATTTTTGAAAATGAACCCAACTAGAATGTTTTAGTGAGTACATTGTTTCACAAGAAACATAATAACGAATTACACGCTTTATAATGTACCTGGTCACTGTTTTATTTCGTTTTCACTTGTTGACAATGTTTTGAGGTACCATTTTTACATATTAAGGACTTAGTGATAAATAGTATCAGCCAGTACTTGCCAATTAATTGCGAACCATTAGTCTGTGGAAAACTAAAATATAGTCCCCTTTAGAAAGGTGGATTACTTACTTAAAATGTATTTCGTATGTATTATGCATACACTATATCTACCATTTACTTATTTTGTCTTACATATAACACAAAACAGGTGAATTGTATCACAGTGTACTATGTCGTATTTTGTTCTGTCATGTATCCTCTTATTATTTGTATCACGTGCAATGTATCGTCCTTTGAGTTGTGCGGACATTTATAGAATGTAGTTATATAGTTTCAGAGAACTATCAGTTAAGCAGTTGTATAAATTTTACCTCGAAAAACAGAGATAAGCGACTGGTAAATGATTCAACTATACTTAATATCTAAAAGTAATTTGGAAGCATCTTAGTTTAATTTACGTCAATTTCAGTAATTAAAATTCTTTTAATTGTTTCCTAATGAACTTGAGACTCGAATCTCCATTCGTCACAGTTATTGTAAACCAAATAGTAAAAGGACATGGCTGATTCAAAAAACTCTGAAAACATTAAATTGTTTTTATCTCTATGATCTTTGTACATCACAGTATAAACTTATATCACATACAGGATGGTTAACAAAGTTGTTTTATGCGGAATATTGTCTCATTTAGTCAAACAACGCTGTATCAAAACCCTAGAAAAAGCCATATGATTTGAACTAATAGTAGTGGTACTTAAATTTGGTTATCGAAATATAAAGTGAAAACTAATATATTATTATCTTGTAAAACGACTCCTGAAATAAATTAACTGTCTCTAAAGAAAAAGAGAATAAATCACAAATACTTTGGTAATGCTAGTTATTATTGCTTGTAGAGCAAACACTTTACTAATAAAGGGAAAGATATTTTATCTGAGTGTTATGTTATCAATATTTGTTTTTCCTGATTTTACGGGAACTAACTACGTTAGTACATGTTGAATAACATGTTGGAATACATTTTTATTAGTATTAGTTATGTTTGAAAAGGTGTTCATTACAGTTGACAACGTTTCCTTAAGTTATCACTCAATAGTGCATATTACAGATGAAAGTAGAACTAGTTTACTGAATAATCATATTTCTTTAAGATATATATACATGTAGTGGATGAGTAAATAAATATTAAAGAGGTACAATTGTATCACTGACAATTAATAAGACCGATTAATACATAGAATGATAATTGAAATCTTAGTTGTATCCGAAATACATTTTATGTGAAACCATATTCATCGCAGCTTGCGGCACTAAAATGTTAGACACCATAGGTTATTGTTTATGAAAAAAAGTGTTTTGATCAAATTGTAATTAGAGTATTTAGTAAACAACAAATAATACCTCATATTTTGAACGTGAAGTTGGTGTTAACTGTGGCATATATACATGAAAATAAATATTTACTAAAAAGTTTACCACAGGTTAACAAAATTTGTTGATCATTCACATAATTACAAGAAATGTCACATTAAAATTTCATAGTGAATTGGTTGTTAGTTATGATGATTTGGATAGAACGATAGGTTGAGAAAGCTGACTACATATTCACTGATGTTGTTTGCTTGAATCGTCCCACTGATGTTTGGGATTGCAATTGATAAGTCTCTTATTTGCATATGTTCATACTGTGCATATTTCCCCGATATTGCACTAGCAAGTTGTTATCAGGACTGTGTAGCTAAGTGGGTGACGTGATGGCTTTTTAAGCGAACGGCACTAGGTTCGAGTCCCAACGTGACATGCCGACTCTGGGATGCAGGTACATCCAGCTGACGAGTCGCAAGTAGGACGAAACGCGCGTCCTGGATTCCACTGTTACACACCATTTTTTTATAACTGATTATGTATTGTTGGCTTAACAGGAATCGAAAACTGTATCGGTTAAAATATAAGCTAATTATTCACCATTATGGTCTCTTCAATTAATAAAGTAGCGTTACAACTCTACTGACAATCAATTCTATTCAACAACGTATGTGTTACTGAATTGAACAATACTGTATGTAAAATGTTTCTCTTCAGCATATAGTAAAATTCTAATACTCCGAAAAGTATATTTTATGATTATTTTCTAATAATCAGTATACACCACTTCAGTAATGAAGACTTTTAAACATTAAACCACAAAAACCTTTTCAATTTGTGTTAGTTTGAGAGGGGGATTTTTAATGCAATCTCCTATCCGTTCGTCAAAGAATAAACAAGAAGGAAGATATAAGAGTAGGCCGTTTCTATTTATTCTTATTAGGCTATTGGAAAAATCTTATTTGTAAGTTATTAATGTAGTGGTATAAAGAGTTATGCCAGATTGCCTTTTGATTTGGCTTGTCTTTAGATCAAACTATGCAGAATGTTAAATTACACATAAAACAGTCATCGAAGAGGATGATTATCAATGTTATACAAACTTTGGTCAATGTTTTGAACCTTTGACCTTATTGTTTATCAAGTTGATTCTTATGCAAATAGTTCACTAGATATAAAAATAACACAAGATATTTAATAATATATAATTTATTGAAAACAACGCGTTGTTCAGAGCCATTATTTCCCTATATCTTTACTCGGCTATAAACAACCCAATATTTCTAGAGTTCTTTTCAGTTCACAAGCTATGAAATTGTCACTAACGTGATCAAAACACTACACTCAGTGGATATTCATTTATTATTAAATTGAACAGTAAACTATGTATGTACTATGGATTTTGAGCCCCAAACAGATTATCGACTCGAAATAGAAAGTTTGGTAATCGACACACATCTGAGCAATAATCAAAGAAAAATTGTATGTGGACTTTGGTACTAAGACAGGAAGAAAACATATAAATATCTGAATTTATATTTCATAAAGCATGAACAAAAGGCATCGAGAAATAAAGTGGAGTCATTCCATTTCATTGCACATATTCTTCATTTTTAAAATGTAGACTAATTTTCACAGTAAAAACTTTGAAAAATGTGACATTTCTTAGAGCATCTATTAACCATTTGGGTATTCTGTTGCTCTTAAACGATTAAACAAGCGAAGGAAAATATAGAGTGATCAATTTATCCGGCTAACCTAAATAGTAAGGTTCTTATGAACTAGATAAACAATGACGCAGTGGTCATAATAATGTTGATAAAATAGCTCAAGATTTCAAATATGTTGAGTGAGAATACCAATAGATTGGGTGATTTAATCATTGAGGAATTCAATTAGTTTTGGAAGATGATAAGAATAATGGGAACAATTGTTAGTGAGTTATAAAACGGACGTGACAACTTGGCCACAATGATTGATGATGGTGGTAGTGTAATGAGATTAAAGGAAAAATTCTCATCCATATTTTAAGTAAAAAGCCGAGAAGAATGGGAAAATATTTCGCTACTATTAGTTTTTCACTACCTCTCCCTTTCTATATATATATATATATATATATATATATATGATATTTATAATTTTTAGTTATAAGATAATACATATCGAGTAGTAGTTCAATGTAAAAATACTATATGTCTACAATTGAACTGGATGACACACAATCAAATTAGTCAGAGAGTACTAGTTCGCTCAAGACTACAGGGATTTCTTTCTGACGATTGCCATATAATAGCGTTCCATATTGATTATCATCAACCACGTTGCAGGATGAGGGAAGTTTTAAATATTGAAGGTGAAACAACAAATGTAGGTAAGAAAGTATCTGTAGAGAACGAAGACACTATCGGCCGACTGTAAGAAAGTTAATGTATATTAATTGGGGTTCAAGAAACGAATTACTAGTAATTCTGAGCGACGTATCACTCTGACATTGTGCCATTCATTTAATTTTTAAAAAACGTCAACATCGCTTACGAAAGTGCTTAATATCTAGTATAACTATAGCAAAATGCATTTTATAGTCTAAGTATTAGAGTTGTAGAAAAAAATTGTTTTTTTGTCACACATCAAAATTGTTAGTTATGTAATCTGATCTGGGCTTCTTCAGGGAGACAAGTTGAAGTTGATTAAGACCATAACCAGAAATGTATTCTAATTAAGTGAATAACCATGTTCAAATTGTTTAATATAGTTATGTAAATCTGAGTCATTCAGAAAGAACATTCTTCAAATTGTTATAGATCAGGAGGCCTATATATGTGTGTGTCAAAGCTATCTAAAAATCAGTGATATGTTGTTTGGACTATAATCAAAGCCATACG